TGCTTACTAAAAGAGTTTTTTATTCAGGGTTTGATGCAGATTTAACCTGGCATATAGGTAATCGTATTTATTAGAGTTTCAAGAATACCATTAAATAAATAATATGATATTTATTCACTCAAGTTCGTTTAAGATGATGAAGGACTGGCTGTAGAATTTTCCCACAATGATATGAGTAAAGCTGACATTTTCATTGAATTTCACATATAGTTAATCAGCATCACCAACGGGATTCTAAATCGCATTTTCATGCCATGTACAGTAGCGATAGATTACAACTTCCTTGCACAGCCACACTTACCAGTTGGTCACATGACAGATCTAACTATTAAGGCAAGTCAGGCCGGGAGCAAATCACATGTATAATGGGAGTATAGATGATGCAGACATGTATTTTCCAGTGTAATCAACAATTTTACTTATTTTAGATGTAAGTAATCACTATACTTTGTTTAAGAATTTACAAGTGAATGAAGATTAGGCCTAGGAGAGTTCGAAAGTAAACTCCGCTGTGGATAAGAATAGCTCTTGGGAAGTAAGGCTATGTGAAATTTAATGGAAGCATAAGGTTTACTTATATCATTGTGGGAAAATGCAACTTCCAGTCCTTCATCACCTTAGGCAAAATAGGGAGAACACATCTCATATATTTAAATTCTTATTTGAAAAGTACACTACTGCAAACAAAATAAGACTCACTAGTATCGAGAATTCTTGCATTTATTTTATTACGATAAATGCTGATTACGATTGTTTACTTTGAACTTATAATTTCAATTTTGGTCTTAGTCTACTCTCACTGAATAGAAGCGGTCAAGGATTGGTCGAAGAGGCTTCGTAATACTCTTTCCAAGGAATGCCAATATTTTTGTGTGGATTTGTACATTGTGAAAAAGTATACTGGGTACACTCCCTGATAAGAAACGAACAAGTATTTTACTCTGTAGTCCCATTGAGCTTTGCCAGCTTCGGAGCCTAGTTTCAACTGGCAAAAGAAGCGTCTTCGAATTTGCACTTAATCTATCGTCAAGTTGCGAAAATCTAGTCAGCTTCATCTCATCAATCCCTATACCCTTCTGTACTATCTTGAGTGATTTTAATTCCAATTAAATATCTACTTATATATTTTCTGTCTACTCACTGTATACTGTGAGAAGTAGTTATCATCGCAACAACCTTCCAATACGATAAATCTGCTCGACGTTTTATTCTGCCCTGTCGAGATATAATAGACAATGTTAGAGAGTAAGTGGTTTTGTCTTATTTTAAATTTTTGTTGTCACTACAAATTCATTTTTCATATAGGTATTACAAATGAGTATATATATTTTTGAGTCATGGGAGGACAAGCCGTGGGTTGTTGCACTCAAATCGGATGCCACAACATCAAACCGAATTCAGTCGGGTTTCTGGGAGGCAAGCCTAAGAGTTATTTTTATTCATCTTTCATAAGAAATTGAAGGTCTATTGATAAGGTTTATAAATTTATCTTGACATATTGTGGACATTATGGGGGGTAGGTAGTTATTAACGACTACAACACATATCACACCTTGTTGTCGAAAAATAGGTAATTGAGTCAAATTTCATAGCAAATATAACTTTGCTTCAACGAAAATCCCACCACAGAATGGGAAATGCAAAAAAACCTGGCCTGCTTCGAAATTCACATCGGTCCGATGGCGCAAGGGCACTCGTGGCAGTGTGGCGTAGTATTTAACTGGCCGAGATTATACGCTGCACCATCTCGTTTCGAGTCCCGCTGGGGGTACTGATGAGACCTGTAGTGCTCTCCTGTCTGGATGAGAATACCTTTTAGGAAAGTAAGTATATGTGAAATTCAATGCGGAAAAATTAAACTACCAGTCCTCTTATCAACTTAGACGAAATAGGGTGATATAGATTGTAGATTTTCTTGATCTTCGTCTCTTCCCAAATCTGTAGATAAACGTATATTTATTTACACAAATTTGTGCTTAATTCACTTTTGGTCTCAGACCTGCTCACGCTCTACGCATCCTCTGGTTCCGGCGCCGCCTCCTTTCGAACGGACTCGCTTCTTCACCCGAGCCCATTCTGCCGATAGACAGTTTGCCCCAAAGAACTCTCCCTAGGTCGACATTCCCCAGTTTCGGGTTGGAAGATGAAATGACCGGACCTAAAAGCTACCAAAAAGTCAGGCTTCAGCAAGCGAAAACTGAGCAGCGACAATATACTCGCCTCTATCATCTTGCACAATTCAACCGGAGTCTGGTAGTTGAACTGTTGCCAGGACTACTGAGCGAGCGGCCTTTCGGAGGAACGGCGGAATCTGGACCAGACCGCAGACCACCGCGAGAGGCTGCGGGACTCGGAAAGCAAACGGACTCGGTAATGACGGATGAGGAGGCTGTTGAAGAGGTGGTAGACGAAGAGGTCACCTGTCAAGGACACTTGACAACGGATTTGTGGCAGGACGTACCAGCAGCTGTTTGGCCCTCTGGACTACCCCTGCCAATGTCGGCAACCGCACGTCTTCGCGTCCATCAAACTCCTTTATTGGATCGTCATCCACCACAGAATCACCTTCAGTCTCTTTTCAGCTCCATCCCATTAAAGTATTCCACTTCAACATCTTCCAGTATGCCATCAACACTCGCATCGTCTCCATTAGAAACGCTACCAGCCTCTATGAGCAGAGCAACGGAGGCTGTCTCTCTTTCCTCGAGGCCGGAGAAATTTGGATCTTTTGCAGCGCCTATGTCTGCCGTCAGCCACATTGTGGCACCTGCCGGAGAGAAAGTGATTCTGGCCTGCCCGGTACTGCGTTGGGGACGGCCGAAGGCACACCGCATCTGGCTCCGGAACGACCGGCTCGTGGAGCCGGACTTCCTGGGCAGGCAAGTCTAGCTTGAAAAGGAAGTGAATGGAATCAGAAAATATCGAAGAGTGCCTAAAAATATACTCACTAGGGGGTGTGTAGGCTAAGCTGGTATATCTCTGTAAACATTCCCATACAGTAAATCTTATAGCCTCAAAATAGTGCATAAAACTTGGAAATGCAGCCAGGTTTTCCTTTTTTTTTGAATATCCCCCAAACTCAATTCATTACTAGTTTACTGCTCTCTTCGTTGCCATCAAGTCAACTTGGACCCCAGTGACATGACTTTCCAGTTCGAAGAAAAACACCTTTATCAGTGCTTTTTATTAAGCATCCTAGTAACTAGGGCTGAATCTGGCCAAATGTTCTCTTGATATAGTATACTTTTTTGCGCTATTCCGCAAAGTATGGATTCTTGTCCTTATGATGTCTGTCACGAAAGTACAAACAAAAGCCTAGCATAGGATCTCCGGTGTCTCAGGACAGAGTCAATATAACTGGTCGACAATGATATACGAACAGCTTCCATCAAGTCGACCTTGAGGGCCTCTTGATTTGGACTAAAACTATGAGCATTTATTAGAAGTCGTTCATCTTAGATGAGATGAGGAAAAAACTGTGTTTTAAGGATTCCTTAGTGATTTATTGTGTGATGATTTTCCATTTCGAAGGAAAAATAGTTTTTGAAAGGATTCGCGTAATGGTCTCACCGGAAGGAGGATTTTCGTCAAATGAAGGTTCACTGACATGCGACCCCGCTTAGTTTGTGCTAAGCTATTGTCTGTACCGGTTCAACTAAACTAAGAGAAAAGGTGGCCAGGTGTTATAGTAAGTCAATTCTATTAGACCTACCCTTGCGATCTTACTGAAGCATCGTAGGTTTTGGTTGGCTGCCTCCAGTTTACTTTAAATGCTTGCGGATGAACGAAATTAAATCATGAACTGGAAGTGGAGATGGTGGTAGCTGTTTCTTTACATAAATAAATTAAATCATTTATTGAAGTGGGCTTACCTCGTTGTCGCAACTTGGTCTTGTGGTCAGGGAGACTTCGGACTAAGTGCGTTCTACATAGTCTCCCTGACCACAAGACCAAGTTGCGACAACAAGGTCGACCCACTTCTATAAATCTAAAGGAGACTGCGACCATAACAGAGGCCACAACATCTTGGTCTTCATATCCTAAATCATTTATTGTTTACTCATGTTTAAGGATAATAAATTTTTATTGCTTAATGTATTAATGAGCATAAAAGTATATAATTTGGGTAGAGATGTGCATAGTCATATGCAAATGTATATATATATATACATACATATATAAAGGGTTAAATAGTCGTGAAATCATGGATAATATAGAGCCTAAGTCTAGCGGACTTAAACCACAGGGAGCATAAAATCGGTATATTAAGGCATATATTGTATCAAAACAATTACCTATTGAGATCAATATAAGATTACATTTCATTACTCAATAACAGGATGAGCGGAGGGGCATCACTAGATACCAAAGTATAATTGCCATGGGCATGTAACTGCTGCATTGTTAGAAGAAGATCTCGGCCCACCTTCCTGCCATCCATGATCAACTTTCGTAAGTCAAATGGCATCGGGCTAGCGGAAAAGGGAGGCGATGTCATTTTTTTACAATTCAGCAGTCATATACAACCGGCTTTTTAAGCGAAATATAAAGTTGCCCCAATGCTTGCTTGACTATTCACA